GCTCCTAGTAGAATGGAGCTTACTAGTAGTAGCTTCTTGCTCCTAGTAAAGAGGCCAGGAGCTACTAGTAACTTGTTGCTCTCCTAGTAGAAAGGCCAGGAGCTACTAGTAGCTTGTTGCTCCTAGTTGCGCTCCTAGTAGAAAGGCCAGGAGCTTACTAGTAGCTTCTTGCGCTCCTAGCAGAAAGGCCAGGAGCTACTAGTAGCTTGTTGCTCCTAGTAGAAAGGCCAGGAGCTTACTAGTAGCTTCTTGCGCTCCTAGTAGAAAGGCCAGGAGCTTACTAGTAGCTTCTTGTGCTCCTAGTAGAAAGGCCAGGAGGTACTAGTAGCTTCTTGCTTCTTGTAGAACGGCCAGGAGCTGTTAGTAGCTTCTTGCTCCTAGTAGAAAGGCCAGGAGCTACTAGCAGCTTCTTGCTCCTAGTAGAAAGGCCAGGAGCTACTAGTAGCTTCTTGTATAGTAGAGAGCTACTAGTAGCTTCTTGCTCCTAGTAGAAAGGCCAGGAGCTTACTAGTAGCTTCTTGCTCGTACTAGGCAAGCGTACCGCGCCTCTCCCCGACTTGACATGAGGCATCCTCCGTCTCGCAAACATCGAGGCAGCAAACGCCTGGCCCGCCGGCCATGTGCCTGACAAACGCATTCAAGCGTGGTAAAACACAGGGTAACAGGTGAGTGGGTTGCTTGAAGCCTATCTGCTGATGATTGTTGACCTGTTGATGTGTTGTGTTGGTGGTGTGATGACATTATAAACAAATACAATAAACTAATCGCTGCATCGTAACGTTAGTCTGACTTCTCCAGAAAGGGAAACTACTATAGAGTTGATCTGCAAGTTGATCCATGAAGTGCATCTGCATATTTGATTTATCTGCACATAGCCTTCCTCCAATGCAAGTTGATTTGTCTTGAATATCGAGACTTGTATTGGTGGAAGGTTTCGGAACGACTTTTGGGCTACAAGTCTTCTTGTGAATCCAGTCGGATATCCGGTGAGATAACCGCAAACTACTGAACTTATTTGACATATATACAAAGTAACACATAGTAATAATTTTATAACCATTGCAATCCATTAAGAAAAAATGTCCGAAGCAATGATGGAAGTGGAGCCTGAGCCCCTGGAAGATCCTTGTCAAGGGGGGGAGGATATCTCCGAAAAGGATCCTGCCCTGGAGTGCAGGTCCGAGGGGACACCTCCCAAGTTCGAGGGCCGAGGGCGCCTCTGCAGTGGCAAAAACTTGGACTTGCTCCGGGGCCACCAGGTGGCCCAAATCAAGGTCGTGGAGGTGTCGGCGGCCAAAGTCGAAAGGGATTGGCCAATGGAGGAGGTCCTGGGAGGTTTCGTTTTGGGGAAAGCAGCAAAGTTTCGGCCGCAGGTCTGGGCTCAAAGTTGTGGAGCTGGTTGCGCCACCTGCCCTCAGACTACAAGGATATGGTAGAAAACCTGTGGGTGATTCTTGGGAACCACCGTCCAAAATAGACAAGTAGGAGTCAGCGGACCAAGGTTTGGTTTGATAAGGAAGTGCACTGAGCTAAAGACACTTCGACAATGAGAGAACCCGCTGGTGAAAAGAGTCCTTTGCTAGCGTCTGTGTTTCTGAGTGGAGTTTGTTTCTAAGATATTCTAAGATGCTCAACTACCTTTAAGGGGTCTGGAACAATTTACCTTACTTCGAGTGATCCCCACCATGACATTTCAGTCTGACAAAGTTCTGGCATGTGTTGAAAGACTATTTTGGCATTCTTTCTGTCTTCTGACAGTAAAGCTGGCACTTGTTTCTGGCAAAAATTCTGACATTCTTTCTGGCATATCTTCAGATATTATTTCATCTGACGCTATTTCCGGCATATCTTCTGACATTATTTCTGGCATATCTTATGACATTCTTTCTGGCATATCTTCTGACATTCTTTCTGGCATCACTTCTGACATTCGTTCTGGCATATCTGTTGACATTCTTTCTGGCATATCTTCTGACATTCTTTCTGGCATATCTTCCCACACTCTTTCTGCTGTATCTTCTGACATTCTTTCTGGCATATCTTCTGACATTCTTTCTCTATCTGGCATATCGGCATATCTTCTGACTCGTGGTTGGGGTCCAGCAGGGAACACTGCCGTCCGGCGGGGAAAACTGCCATCCGACACTCGCGGTTGAGGAGGCGGAGAACGAGAGGAGAGGAGAGGAGAGGAGAGGAGAGGAGAGGAGCAAGGCAGCTGACATAAAATCAAACAACCCTCATCTGACAGGTGGGGAAAACATAATGGAAACATATACAAACACTGGACATCGCTTCAAGTCACCACAAGTCAGGGTGGCCACGATCGCTATTCAGGATCCCTCTTAGTTAGCCTCTCGTTTCAACATCGTGGAGTGACAATTGGGCCTGGCATATCTTCGATTGGTCTTCGAAGTTGTGCATCTTTCCAATGCACATTCTTAGACTCTGCTTTGCCTGAAAAGACTCTCTGAACTCATGGGGCCTGGGGTGGCTTAGCCCCTCGGAGGTACCGTTATAGGTTTCAGACTGACATGGTATGACATGGCTTTCTCAAAACTGTGGTATCCCCGGCAACCTGTCTGCATTCCAACTGTGCGGCATGGTCCACCTAGCTAGATTCTTAGATATAGAGTTTCCTGACTCCTCTGACTCGAATTGGGTTCCCCTAATTAGTTGCACCCACTCGTGCCTTCACAGCTGACTGAGATTCCAAATCAAGGTGCAGAACGATACATTCCAAGAATTGATCTTGGCTTGGCATCTGCAAGGAAGCCACCGCAGCAGAGGATCACTTTGGGCCGGGCAGTCACTTGCGCACTGGGAATTTCGGTCACTTGCGCACTTTGGGTCACTTGCGCACTTGGCATCAAAAATTTAGGTCACTGGCGCACTTACCTGCTTCCTAGCAACGGGTGGTGCCTACTCCACAATGAACTAGTGAATGGGTTGGGGTGGGGGGGGTGGGGTGGGGGGGGTTGCAGTTGCCAACCATACAAAGGGACTCTGAACTGCTGAAAAGGTTGCCAAGTTGGACAAGGTCAACATCTTTACACACACACACACACACACACACGCACTCACGTTTTGATTGCCTTTCAAAGCATACTTCTGCCATACAAACTCACTTGCGCGCGCAAACTATAATGAGTGGGTTGGGGTGGGGGGTGGGGTGGGGGGGGGGTTGCAGTTGCCAACCATATAAAGTGACTCAGAAGTGCTGAAAAAGTTGCCAAGTTGGACAGGGTCAACCGACCAACCTAAAGCATTTGGTGACGACATGTTCGGACAGTGCTCAAATGCCAAGTGTACAAGCGACCATAATTTCAAGTGCACAAGCGACCCAAATTTCAAGTGTACAAGCGACAGCTCGCCCATCACTTTGCCCTGCATGTGTGTGTGTGTGTGCGCGTGCTTGTGCAAAAATGAACAAAACGAAGGGAAGACAAAGGAGTCATAAAGTTAGGACCAAAGAATGACTATGACCGGACCATGAACCCATGTACCCCACAACTGCTTGTGGAAGGTAGTGGTTTTCAATCCAAACCATTTTCGACAAATCTGTATCCTTGCAACGCTTCGGTACAAAAGAGACCAATCTGAAAGGGTGGCTTCCTTGCCGTGAATGCTGCTATTTCATACGCCGCATTGGATCCTGAAACATGGATCATCCCGTGGTGCCACCGCGTGTCCCGGCAGTCGCATCGTGCCACGTCGGTCGAAGCGCCTTCACGGAGATCTCTCCCTTGGGAGTCGAAGAAACGCAGCCATAGCATGAGCCACCAGCGTGAAGCAACCTCCGCGGAACCGTGAAGCTACGTTTAAACAAAAAAAACACTCGATTCTCGGGATATACAAAAAATAGAGGGAGTTGGAACTCGAATGAATTCTTAGATGCATTTGGGGGATTGCCCCAGCTACAGTTCTGCCTGAGGGCTACACGAGGAAGGACTGCTGGTTTCACAGGCCGACACTGTTGAGCATAACCTGCTTCTGAACTGAGTCATGTTCCATTGCCTTCTTAGGCACCTGGAGTGTACGTCATCTACCTTGTTGTACATATCTTCTCGAAGCTGGCACGTCCACATCGCAACTCTGACCCGCTACACGTGTGCACGGCCGAAAGAAACGAATGTATAGGGGGACCCGCATTTTCTACACTACTGTCTTTTGTGCTCCTGTAAACAAGACGAACCATTCAGGCTTCCCACACCTGATGACAGGTGAGCTCGTTCGTACTTGAATCTTCGAAGATCGCTGAACGGCCAAGGTCAGCGACTTGAGTATCTGCCGCCGGAGCTCGTGAAGCGTTCTGGAATATATGCGTCTGACAAACATTTGGAGGAAATGACACGTGATGCGGTGGTCTGAAAGTCCTGTTACATCATTCATCTGGGGATGATATCTGATGCTGTGGGGTATATAGTTCTGAAGATGTATATATAATATATATATATATATTTGTCTGCGCCATTGGTATATATATATATGTATATATAACATGATATATGTACACGCAAGCAATAATATTGCATTGAAGCCATATATATAGTCATAATCATTTGAGATTCCACCCAATATGTCCTGCCATCAAAAGACTTGCACAACACAAAATAGAGTGAACATAAACTTGTGTCCTGTGTAAATAGCTTAGCTTCAAATTGTGTCCAAACTACTGTTGCTCATTAGTGGAACATTCCTTCGTCGCAATGATGCGTTTTGCACCTCTACCGCCGTGGACTTTCCAGTCTCCTCAAACATGGGGCATCCAAACGTGTTGAAGGGTAGCAAGGACGCTACGAACTGGGCGCTCCTGGCCTTACTACTAGGAACAAGGACGCTACTAGATCTACTTGAACAAAGGGCATCGCTACTAGTAACAAGAAGCTACTATTGCACCAACTGAGATCCTCTAACCTTGCCACAAAATGTCAAGTTTGAATCAGAGAGAGACCGTCCAATCGCCTCTTCCTCCCAGAATGGCTTGAATTTTGTTTTGTTCTCTCCACTAGTGGAGGGTCTTCACTTCTTGGCAGGGCCGGCAGGGGAGAGCAGGAATATCTAAGGTGTTCACATCTGAACATCAAATAATCAAGGGTGCAATTCAATCACAAGTCGGTGTGTATCCAAAGAATGAGACCGGAGCACCAAGAGAAGAGAAAACTTACTAAAATCCCAACTGGTTGGAGAATTATTTTATTCATATTCATTCTTATTCCAATGACGTCCCGCACAGGTCCTGCCCAATGAGGTCCCCTACCTGCACACACCCAGGTCCTGGCCCAGATGATGTTCGGCTCGGTCCTCGATGATCACCCCAAGCTGAGACAATCTTTGAAGAGTTTCCGGATCTTCTTCAGACCTCCGCGTCATTCCGCGTCTCCGTGTCAGGGTCAAACGGAATGCACCCATCAAATCACCGTTCGTGTGTCTGGTGTGCAAATCACACCGGTCACTGGATGGGATTGATTTTTTGGGGGTTCAAACCTTTGCAGGGCTGGAATGTCGCAACCTCAGGATTGCCAGGTATGCTTCACAAATCCTGAATGTGTGGTGTGTCATAATGCCAGCAACACATTGTTCCGAAGTAGCACACAACCCGTGGTAATCTCCCGTGGTCTTCGAGGTCTCTGGGAGGAGGTGTTAGTCATCCCAGGTGGTTACCAGTCCAACCGAGTCATACCCAGTGCTTGTCACGGGGATACCATGCCATGTCTGCACAGGTCCGACCAAGAGTTCAACATCTCAGCCATAATCAGCCATAAATGGGTTTCTCAGAACCTCAAGACCTGAAGAGAAGAATGATACAAAACAACATTCGACAAAAAAGAGAAGTATATAAAGCGCATATAAAGAAAACACATACACACACATTAGGCCAAAGGCAGCTATATGGGCTCTCCTGGTCGCCCCCGTTGGTGGGCCTGGCGCTTGCCACGGAGCGATGGAGCTCCGCGCGACCTCCGGCGCCAGAGAGGCTGCGCTCCGCCTGATCCGCATCGCATCAAAATGAAAGAGATGGAAGTGGGGAGATGAAAGGAGCCACTAATAGATACTAATAGCATCTGATCGCTCCGTTTGTAGTAAGGCCAGGTAAGGCCAGGAGCCACCGATAGATTCTTGCTCCTAGTAGTAGGGGGAGATGACATGGTCTGATGGGAATTTCAGGAAATGATTTCGGACCAAAATGGAGATTGCAAGGCGAAGATACGTCATCTACACCTCCTGCACCCCAACTTCCTAGCTCAGGCACAGCTTTCTTAGAGAGGGGACTAGTTTCAAGACCACAAACTCCCACAGACTTGGCATTCATGCTGTGGATCAAGACACTAGTCACCAGTGCAATTCCAACTTAAACAATGATGTTCAATGTTCACAAATGTTCCAGTGCATCCTTGCGATACTCTCGTAATCTCTCGTGCCGCCTTTCAATATGGCCTGTCCCAGCTCCGCACACCCCATTTATCCGCCAAAATGCCAACAAAAGCCTCAACAAAAAGAGTCCCAAAAGAAGAACATGCATGAATTGAATACACAAAGAATCCAATCCTGTCTCTTCACATCTCTTCACAATCCACATCTCTCCACCTCAAAAAGCTGCACAGCACCCGTTCCGCTGAACTCCGCGGCCAGTGCAGCCACCAGGCCGCTCAGGCCACCACCGATGACCAGGATCTGGGCGCGACACGCAGCGCTGAAATCCGCGCTTTCCATGAAATCCAGGACCCGAAGACAGATATTTATATAACAACAATTGGATGTGTGTCGTGTTTTTGAGCGATGTCTTAGAGGAATTGAGCCGAAGATTTGGAAGAAGCTGCAGAAGGAGCTTCTTAGCCCACAGTGGTGACGCAAGGATGCCACTGGTCCAATATGACCTGTATGGAACCATGTCCAGATGTGAACAATTCATTTTCTGGAGTTGGAACATGTTGGAACCTACATGTGAAATCCGAAACTTTCACCTAACGTGCCCGGACGAACGAACCCCGAAATCCTTGGAGGTCCAAATCGGTTGAAATCGTAAGTACCTGTCGTTGGAGCCGAAGTAGATTCGAGCAAAGAGCACCAACCCAAGCACTTTTGATCTTGGCCGGCTGGGCGTTTTGGTGGGAGAGGTGTGCACACTGGAAGGGTAATGGGCCTTCACTGGCAAGGTTCTTGAACAGCTACCCTGTAATTGTATATCACATTCTTCTGCGAGCATTTCAGTGGAGAGCAACTGGCCGCCAATATCACTTATATATAATACTTATAATATAGTGTTTGGAACACAGAATTGATTTGTTCTTTCATTTGAAGCCACACTGTCGGGTCCATAGCTCCTGTTTCTGTGAGGGCGGGACAGGAGTAGAGTGGAGGTTACACAGGAATTCAATCGATACCATATGTTCCGTGCCAAACACAAACATGTGTTTGTAATTCAGCCCTTTTGGTGGAATGCGTCCCAAAATGTTTGTATCAACTGAAGTCCAGGTACATCGGGTGCAAAGCTCCTACATCTGTGTCGGGGTTGCGTAGGGAATGGAGTTTCTCTCGTTTTGCACCAGGATTCCCAGCATCTTCAGCATTCCCTGAGACTTCCATGGCAAAGTTCGAACGAGTCTTCCTCCTTCAACTTGACCAAGCTTGCCGTAGAGACCAATTGCACCATAGATCAACTGGGAGGTCTAGAGATCTAAGACTTACATTGACCATTTAATACCATTTGCATGATCTATTGATATATATATATATGTGAATATATGAATAATGCGAGTGGATCTTAATCAGCGAAGTTTGAAGCTATCACTGACGGTCCATAAGCGGCGTAGCGTCGGAACGGAAACCGCACCTTTTCTAGTCGCTTGATCCTTGAGCCAAAGTACATATGGTACATATATATGTACAAGTTGCACTGTACGTGTCGCTGCACTTCCATTCGCACCCCCCATGTGAACGGCAACAATATGTTCCGATCACACACGAAAATTTAGGGATGTAAGTGCTACAAAAGAAATTGTATGATTTGCCGCGAGACTCATATGAGGCTCATACTACGAAACATGCTGGACTAAAGCGGACTTTTACATATAAAGTGTGCAACTATGGCTCAGAACCTTTGAAAAATCGAATTGAACAAGTGAGACAGTCACGAGGCCTCGCTCAGTATCCACTCAAAAGAGCATCGCTTTGATGTAGATCCGAACTGGTGACTTCCACGTAGATGTCACATCGGCAACTGACTTCACACTCCTCAAAAGATGTAGGTTTTGGTTTGGATACACTTACAGAACGGCAAGTCGGAGAGACAGTCGGTGACTGTCTGCCTTCCATTATGCTCATGGTATCAAATCGTCAATCCGAATTTGCAACGATACACTTACAGCGTTTCAGGTCAGATAAACATCCGGTGAATGATTTCCTCCCTGGTTTGCATGGTATCCTCATAGTCGTTCAAAGAAATCACCACTGGTGATAACCTCTCCATCCACGATGATCCCAGCTGCCCTGAGCATCCCACCGATCATCCTCTCCCCTCTTGGACTTTCCCTTGGACTTGCTCTTTCCCTTCCCCTTTTCAGAAGGTTGAGGTACTTCGCGACGTTCTTGCGTTAGCGCCGGCCTCCAAGATGTTCCAGATTGGCCTCCTCCTTTGGAATGTCCTCGGGATGATGAAGAAGTTGTACCTTCTGCTGCATGTGCGTTGGCGGCAAGATCTTCCTGCAAAGCTTGCTCAAACACATCGGTAGCACTGGATGGTGATTTATCATGTGGTCTGGCTTTTGGAGCAGCCTTCGCCTTGTTCTCCTGTGCTGATGAGGGCCCGAAACTCTTAGATGCTGTTGAAGGTTTTAGCTCCTCACTTGGTGCTGACGACGGCTTGGCCTTGGTTCTGGGTGTAGATGCTGGCTTTGCCTCAGCTCTTGACGAAGATGCTGCTTTCGCTTCAGACTTAGTCGTTGATGTTGACTTAGCTGTTGCCTTGGCTGCCTGCTTCTTCTTGCCCTGAATCTCCTTGGCCCTATCTCCAAAGCCTAGACGATTGGTAAGAGCTTGAACATGCTTATGTTCTACCACGCTCATCCATCTCTCTGTATGTCCAACGTTGGGGTTTCTGGCCATTGACTCTATGACTTCCTGAGCTTGTGGGGGCAACCTGATCTCATGTTGATCAATGATCAACAGAATAGACTTCTCCCACTTGCTCTTCATTCTCGAGTACATGATGTCCAGAGGATCGATCACCTTGTGGTAGGGTGATGTAACGTCGGTTCTAAAATAAGAATATGTCCGACACCCATAAATCGCATGGATGCACTTCTGTACCAATTCAGTCATTGCGCTGGCTTTCTTCGCTTTCAACTCCTCAAGCTGGGCATCAGTCAAGTCGGTGGAGTGTTCGAAGTTGCCATATTCCTCCTTGAAGGATTGCGGAGTATGACCAAATGATAGGATCACGAGTGCCACCTTGCAAATGAATTGCTCTCCTCTGAATCGGTGCCAGGCCTCCTCAGTTGTAATATTGTTGTCGTTGGCAAAGATTAACATCATATCATCTGTTGGATCCAATGGTCTCCCATCGTCATCGATTTCAGTGGAATCCCCTGTACCGAACTTGCTTATCACATCCAGGCGCTTCCTTTTCCAATTTGCTTTGAAGTCGGTAAGGCTGGTGCAATAGTAGCTCTTGTACATCAGGGAGATCATGTTCAGCACACATTTGACCACATACCTATCCATCAAACCCGATGCATTCACGGAGACGTCCTGACAGTAGGCTCTCTCTTGATGCGCATAGATTCGAGGTTCCGGTACTCGACAATAGATGGGGAGATCTTCGTTGTCTCTTCCTTCTTCGGGATTGAACTCGGATGCTCCATGTTGTGCATAGTATCCCGGTTCATCACGATCTGTCGGTCGATTCGCCTCCGGATGTAAGTCGTCGGTGACGTCTTCATCCTCGGGCTCACCATCTTGACGTTTCTTCCCCTCATATTGTTGTGTGCTCCTCTGGATCTCGATGATCACGTTTCGTTCGTCTTCATCTTCTAGATCAGAATCACGACCGTAGTCGATCTCGTCCTCATTGAAAGATGGGGTCTCGACATTGTCACTCTTGAAGTTTTCTGCACCATCAGACGGTTTGGAAGGATCTAGATTGTCCATGTCCTCGTCGTCGTCAGCAGCTTCAGTTTGAGCGATGTCTTCTTCCCAAGCCTTTCTGATCTCGTCCATAGTGGCCTGGTCCAATATATCTTGATCATCATCTTCAGGCTCCTTCTTTTCCTTCTTTTCCTCTTCATCGTCGCTCACAAGATCAACGGGTGAATCGGAAATGACAGTGTTGCGAATACCACACGAGAGTAGCCTGCCTTGACAAGATAGACACACGGACAAAGATGAAGAAGTCAGATGCATACATGATGGACACAAAATATTGCCATCCACGTTGCGATACCCTTCACATGTTCTGGAGATGATTTCGTCCCAAGTTTCCTCACTGATGGAATCCTCGATCAGCTCTCCATTGTCATCGAATCGTACTTCATCGATAAGGGACACGAGCTTTTGGACGTTGTCATCTGTCGCCGAGGCTGACTTCGTGACTTCGTCGGCTCTCTCGAGGATGGTATGCTTCTGAGCAACCCAAAGTCCACGACGTGCCGCTAGAACAACTTGCTCTCCAGTGCTTCCTAGCAGGAGTCTCCTCCATGCCTGAACGTGGTCGTCCCAATACCAAGCACCTCGTACACATCTCCATGGAACTTCTCTAAAAACAACAGTGTAGGAATTCTCCGAAATTCTTCCCCCAAGCTTCCTCAAAGTCATGATTGGAACATAAAGGCAAACGGGCATTCCCACTCTTGGCCATCTTGATCTCAGAATCTTTGATGATCGATCATCCCACGGCGCAAAGTGGTTGAAGAAAACACTACCTCTATATCCCTCCGTTCCACCAGGGACAATTCCTAGTTTCATGATTGACTCAATATTGGAAAGCGATGTCATGTGAAAGCTTCCTCCAAGCTGCATTGCCACATTCTCTGGAATGAGATGTGAAGTCCACACAGGATATATTGACACATCCTCTTCAAGAACAGTCTCTCTTCCAGAATTGTGAGAGGCAACAGCTCGAATTGCACAAGGAACGATCCAACGTTCATGCTTCAGAAATGACGGTGCGTCTGTGCTGTAAAACATGAGGTTTGCCCAGTATTGCCTTTCCTCTTCGAGTGAGACATCCTCCTTTGAGATACGAATGGCGGCAATCTGATAGCGTACTCTGTTCTGCAACTTCTTTGCATGCCACATCGCCTTGCATAAATACTGGTATCGCTCTGTCTTGACATCTTGACGATGCCGATCACCTGAGATAGTACTGATATCGACACCATCGTTGAAGACATGGTCATATTCCAGGATCTCATCGATGTTCACCCATCCACCCTCATTGCACTTCGGGGACACATGAGGTTTTCGACCGCGGTGCGATTGAATCCCATTATGCTTTCCCACTCCATGCCTGAGTAGTCTATTGAGTCTATGGCTAATCTCGTTGACCCTCTGACTCTCCTCGCTGAACTTGTCGATGCGAGTTGCTGGGTTCATCTTTGGTGGATCCGTGAAAGTTGCATCTCTCTTCGGTCCATTCCAGTACTCCACATAGAATGTAACTCCATACTGTGGAATGATCTCGATGCTTCCTCTATCGCAAGTCACCTCAATCTGCCGATATCCAACCTTTTGAACTTGTTGTGGGTCAGGAGCAAGGTCCTTCACTTTGGGCATCTTTATTCCGAGTGCTGCAGCCTCCTGAATAAGTGCATCAAGTTCCCACTTTCCATTAGGACCTGATCTATCAACCCTGTGATTTGCGACCCTGTACTCTCCTCCTTCTTTGTCATCGGCAATGTCAAAGAGGTCGACGGGCTCTTCGAATCTGGTGACGAAACTGGCGTTCCCAAAGGCCTTCTTGGTTGCCTCGACCGCTTTCGCGTATTCCTCTTTTGCAGAGTCTGACGATTGTGGTCTACCTTTGGCTCTCGGAGAGTGAGGTGGTACCTTACCTCCTAGTTCCGGTTCTTCTTCGGGAAGTTCAATATCTTCATCATCCACATCCATGTAGTCCTCGTCTTCGACGTCTTTGGATGACTTTGCTTTCCTCTTTCGGCTTTCAACATCACGTCGGATGATTGCCTTGTCGTCCTCGGTGAAGCACTTGCGCATAGTTTCCTCCATGTAAGAGAATGAGTTCATCAACTCGTCCTTCTTCTCAGTGTTGGGACAAATAGCCAGGTGATGTTGGTTTGAACCACAACAATAGCACACCTTTTGGCTCACTGCGCGTGCTCTGACCCTTCTGAGGTTGTCATAGGCGGCTTTCCAGTTGGAAGCGGTTGCTGTACCTTGCCCACTGCGCTTGGCAGCTCTTTTCCGTTCTTCAGTATCTGGATTCGATGTCGGGTAGTGCGACCATGTTTTCGTCGGGGATACTGAACGACCTTCCCCATCCTTGTAGTCTTGCGGATCAAGCTCAGGCGTAGGTGGTTCAGGCTCCTCGACTCCTGGAGTGGTACTCGCAGGGTCGGCTTCGCCATCCTTCATCTCTACATCAGGCTCTTCCGTAGACGTTCTCTTGGGCTCTGGGGCTATGGCCAGTCGTACCATTCTCCTGAACTCTGGTCTGGTAGCATACCTGGACATGACGGCATCGATACAGGCTCG